TAGACCCTGCCGTGGGGCCAGTTGTAGCATTAGTCAAGGCCGTCACGTTCGGACCTGCCGTGGGGCCAGCTGTAGCACTGGGAGTGGCCGTCTCGTTTGGAGCTGCCAACAAAAATGGAAATAAAATCAGCGATTCTGTGGCTTTTTAATGTATTGTCATCCTCATCATGTACAAAATTCAGCATATAGAAATGAGAGAAACGGTCTTACCGGATGCAATAATAGATGATGTATTGATATTAAGGGAAAAATTTGAGCTAGAAGCAGCAGTCCGCAAAGTGTCTTCGACAGAACTGGTATTTGGTGTTGTAGTAGCATTGTTGAATATCAGGTCAGAGTTAACCACAACGGATCCCTGTCTGTAACAGAAAGGTTGTTGTAATGTTGTAATCTTATTTGTCACCTGTGCCCATTATAGTTTAGCCAACTCTCAATGACAAGGATAACTGATACATGTATAAAAGATACAGTTTAACAATTTGAATATGTTCATAAAAGTCTGACAGTTGTTATATAATACTTGTGATAAACCATATGATGTCATGTAATGGATAATAAATTACAACATTCCTCGCTATATCCATAAATTACTTAAAAAATAATTCAGTCAAAAAAGTTTGAATGTAATATCAAGCAATGTTTTATACCTGAAATTTTTGATGACAGAGTGATTGTATTGAGCTCCATATTTACGCGAATAGACACCGTCAAGCTGTGAAAGTGTGAAAAAAATTATTAAATTTGTAAATATGTATGACGCAAGAAAATTGATATGTTCACAATATTATTTAATGGCATTTAATAAAATTTCATTCTTTGAAAAGAGGTTGCACTTCTGGTCAATAATGACAATATTTTCTGACATTAGTCATGATCCTCTTTAAAAATGTTTGTAGGTCGTGTTAAAACTCTGTTCCCAAAAACAACTGCTAGACAACTTCAGCTCATTCAGAATGTTTGTTTAACAAGAACCATCAGAAATGAGTATTACACTCTTGTTCTACCAGTTACCAACAGAATCAGTTTTAAAATTCTACTGCTAGTTTATAAATAACTCAGTAATATGGGTCCAAAATACGTTTCTGACCTCCTTGTAAAATACAAACCCAGTAGGGCTGTTACAGTCAGCTGGTAGAACCCAGAGTCAGAGCCAAACAGGGTGAAGCTGTTTTTAGCTGCTATGCTACAGGTGGAACTAACCTCCTGAGGGCACTAAATGTGCCCCAACTGTGGCCTCTTTCAAGTCGATACTGAAACTCTTCTGTTTTCACTGACTGGTTTAATTCCAGTGTTGCACAATTTAGAATCAATTTCTAGAAAGATGTTGTTTTTTGTTTGTTTGTTTTTCTAACAACAACAACAAAACAAAACTTACCGCTGATGTTACTTGTTGACTTAACCGGATGTACTCATCTGAAGATGGGTTTGTTAGTTGTTGTGAAAAGGGTTGGTCTAATTTGAATTCCAAACCAATTACTGACGATGTTGGTGGGGCAGCTGTTGTGATTACAGCTGGTGGTGCTGTCGGATTCACAGGTGGAGAGCTTGTATTACCTAGAAATATATTAAATATTGTTTTGTAATAAATATTTGAACCTGTCATTTCTCCTAGCAAATGAAAATATTACATTTACTGGTGGTAAAACTGTGGCTGAAGAAAAATTAAAGACAGTGGCAGTGATAGATTGTGTGAATTGTTGCATTACCTGGAATTGTGGTGACTGATGGTGGTGATGAAGTGACATTGACAGGAGGAGTGGTCACGTTGGCTGGTGGCGAAGTGGCATTGACAGGAGTGGTGATGTTGGCTGGTGGCGAAGTGGCATTGACAGGAGGAGTGGTGGTGTTGGCTGGTGGCGAAGTGGCATTGACAGGAGGAGTGGTCACATTGGCTGGTGGCGAAGTGGCATTGACAGGAGGAATGGTGGTGTTGGCTGGTGGCAAAGTGGC